AACAGTTGTATTCCAAAGATAATGTGCTCAATAAGTTATACAAAATTGATTAAAATTTGTTTGACAAAAGAGCTCGTTAAAATAGCTATTATTTCGCAAACTAAATTTATTTTTTGCTTAAGGGTTTATATATCTTTAAAAACAATGGGTCATTCATACAACAAAACGTAAAACATAAGGTATTATAAATGTTAAGTTCATAAAATTTTAAAACAAATAAAACTTTTAAATAAATGTTTTGTAATTGCACTTAGATTTTAAAACTATATTATATAACTTACTGATTTTTAAAAATTGATTACAATATCATAGATATCGTAATCAATTTTTAAAAAAACTATAAAATTTTTAGAAATTATTTTCTTGTGCTTGTATTGAGTAAATTATTTTTTAAAATTTAATATTTAAGCTATAAAATAATGTAAATATAGTATTTTTGACACGTCACGTAATGACTTTACCCTTCGTCCCCCCTCCCCACTTTAGCCTCCTCCTTTGTTTTTTTTTTTTTTTTTTTGTAGTTATTAAGGTACTCAATGAAGTCCTTACCCAACAAACCCATTTATGTTATTACGCAGCAAACATTTTTGTAGTAGACTTGGAGTTGACCTATATAGACATAATTATCGCTTCATTTAAATTTTGCTTATTCAATACTTAGAGGACTATTTTATACATATTTTTTTTACTTTATATACTTTCTAGCATGTGATATAGTGGCTAGTCATCGGCTAACCACTTTTGGCAGCTGCCATTAATTGTCACTTAATGGATCGTTTGTGGCATCACTGATGATCCATTTAGTGACCGATGAGCAAAACTATAGTGGATTACTCAAAATGTCTTATGAAATTCAGCAATAAAATGTTTGCTGGGTGATAAAAAGTTTTTATCATTTCAAATATTTTCAGGCTTTTTAAAAAGTATTATTATTGAAGGATTTATGATTTTTAAAGAAATAAAATCTTTTAACTACATTAGCCTTACATATTTATTATGCTTTGAGCAGATGTTCTTCTGGTGTATTCAAACAACACCACTGAAAACTGATATATCCTGAGATATATTTGTTTCTGACTATTCTTCATCATTTTTTTAACCATTAAAAAAATTAAATTATCTTCAATGAATAACTAAATAGCTAAATATCTCTGATAGTTTATTATTAAAAGAATAATCCAGAATGTTTGGCCACTTTTTCTAAATTTAAATATAGTAAGATTTCAAATAACTTTTAAACACGCTCTGTTGCAGATACAAAAGCAATAAATTTACGAATATCCTTTAAGTTTTTTTTCCAATATTTGTTTCTTCGCAAAATTGTTTAAAAGCCTAACAGACAGTAAAATTACTTAAAATACAAATTAAATATGGTTTTAAATCAATTGGCATGGCAGATGATGCTGTTGCGTTAATCGATTGTATTTGACAAAGCATGTGCATTGAAACCAATTCTGCAAGTATGTTGTTACATCCCTTACGGAAATATTCCATGGAAAACCCATGGAATTCCATGAGTAAACCATGGTTTTCCCATGAAAAACGGGAATTCCATGGAATTTCCATGGGTAAATTTCATGAAAATTGAAATCCTATGGAATTTCCATGGGTGAACCATGTTTTTTTTTCATAGCTTAAGCTGCGCCATGGTTGTTACAAATGCGCTTTTAAAGATGGCGTCATAGCTCGTAGAGTTGTGATTATTTTTAAATTAGAAAACAATACTTACTGCATTCTTCTGTTTTTCCGTGTTTAATAAGGCTATGAATTATATGTTTTTTATAATGCAATACATTTATATGTTTTAACTAAACATACAGACATAAACAACTAGATATATTTATCATATTATAATGCATTATAAAAGGGATTATTTTTAATTATATTTTATTATATATCATTTATGCATATACTTATTTTAACTGTTTCCAGTAGCTTTGCTTACTTTGCATAACTTGCAATAGTATAGCAAGTATGTCAAGTAAACCAGTTTGAATTTTAATGCCTACTTGGCAAATTATTTGCCAAATAATTATTATTTGGTTTACAACAAATAAATGTTTAGTTTTAATCTACATTAAATAACTAGTGTATTAATGTACATAGTGTAATTTAATGTACATTCAAACTAGTATAATTATTATTATAAAATTTATCGAACGTATTAAAGAAACTTATTTAAAATATTAATATACAAGCAGTATATTAGATAAGATTAGATAACTAAGATAATAAGATTAGATAACTAATGTACAAAAGATAACTAGTATGATCTTTTTTATTTTTTTTTTATAATAGCCTAAGATTACATAAAAATGCTTGAAGTTTATTGTATCGTAAATGTTCATTAAGTATTAAAAAACATTTTTTTATGATAAATGTTCTATTCAATTTTAGTTCTGTTAAGTTGTTTTTGTCTTTTTGTTGTAGTTTTTTCTTTAGAATTATTAGAATATGTAAATAATGTAATATAAATAATGTTTATAAATTCTTTTATATTTACTTTATTATTTCATTTAAATTACTACATTATAAGCCAACAGGTTTGACTGGCAATATAAATAATGTTGTTCATCGTTTATATTGTTTATAACATCGTCAGTTTTTATATGCATTTAATATTTTTAAAAATAGTTCAAAAGCTGTCAAAATAAAATGGTGAATTGAGTTTAAACCAGAAAAGATATAAACGTAATCTTTGGGATTCAACTTGTAAGGATGTTCCAAGAACCACTTAGTTGGAGAAGGAAAACTGTGGTAATATTTTATAAGTATCAGTAAGGGAATTTACTTAATGCACAAGATTTTACTTCATAGTTAAATGTAAGCATATAAAAGCAATGTTTATAAATAATACACTATTATTTATTATAATACAATTATTTTTATTTGTTTATATTTAACTGATGTAAAGTGCTCGTCTTTAGTTAAAATAAATTAATTTTTGCATACACTTTGATATTTACTATGTTTTTACATTACTATACTTTATAAATTACATATTTGTTATGTTTTAAATAGTGAAGTAAAAATATAATAAATTTTTGAATTTAATGGTATGTGCGTAAGTTCTTTTATTTTAACTTTATCATTTTATTTAAATTACTGCATTATAAGCAGGTAAGTTTGACTGACAATATAAATAATGTTGTACATCATGCAGACAGCTCAGACAAAGAAGTAAGTTTTTACTTAAAATTACAATTTATAAGTTATACTATATTTGTTGCTGCCTTATTCTATATAAATGTTACTAACATGCAGGTAAAATTTATATATGTGTATAAATCTTTTCATTTTAACCTTATCATTTCATTTAAATATAAATTTTTAATTTATTTATTTAGCCGTTCATTAACAAGTCCTGTGCTTTATAATATATTAAAAAATGGAAGGACGTGAAGAAAACAGGTTTGTAAATGATGTTGTACATCATGCAGATAGCTCAGAAGAAGAAGTAAGTTTTTTTTTTAATTACAAAAGTAAATATATAATATAATATTTGTTGCTGCCTTGTTCTATATAAATGTTTCTAACATGCAGGTAACATTTATATATGTATTAGTTTGAATAAATCATTTTAATAAAGTTACATTATAGGCAGGAATGTTTGACTGGAAATATAAACGATGTTGTACATAATGCAGATAGCTTAGGTAAAAAAGAGGTAACAATCTAATAATTTGTATTTATAAATAATGATATATTCATTGCTACTTTTTTCTATATACCTAACATTTGGCAACATTCATAATTGTGTATAATGCCTAATTATAAAGTAAGTTATAATAGATAATAATTATAAGTAAAATGAATTAGTAAATAAAGAAAACTAGTTAGAATGTATATAATAGTTGTATGATGTATTGTCTAGATTGGTGAAATGGAGAATGAGACTAACTAGGGTGAAAAAAAATGAATATTAATATGTGAATGGTACTTTGTTTAACATCTACCTGTTTCTACAGATACAGTACAGACGCATTTATAAATGGGCTTGATGTTTTTTTGAATTAAATATGTTGTATTGATGGTTCTTTTTAACTTGTTAAAACTTGAAGTTATTATCAAATTTATATATACTATTTTTATCAAATAGTTAATATAAAATAATAAACATGTAAATTGTTTTATTTTTTGTAAAAATTGTTTTCTTGATAAATTTCAATTGTTTATCACTATGTATATCACTTATAGTATTATATTACTTGTAATTTTTTGTTTTATTTATTTTCAGTATGTTATACATATGCGTGCATTAAATATTGTGTGGAAGTCAAGTTTTGATGTTTTAGGTGCATTATAGCTATTATTTTTCAAAGATTTGTAGGATTTAACAAGATTTAAATTTTATTTTGTTTATTGATTTTATTTGAAGAAAGCGATCTCATAGATTAAGAGAACTCAATAATAGTGGGATAAAATTTGCTTTTATGATTTAATATGACAATTCAAATAACATTAGATAAAAAACTTGAAAACAAATCATGCTTTTTTACCATGAAAAATCCATAAGTTTTCATTGGAAAGGTGTTCCTAATACCTATGGAAATTCCATGGTTTTTCCATGGATGGAAAATCATTGAATATCCATGGTATTTGGAACACTTTTCCATGAAAAACTTAAAGATTTTTCATGGGAAATTCATGTGTTTTCCATAGAAAACTCATGGTTTTTCCATGGAAAACTCATGGTTTTTCCATGGAAAACTCATGTTTTTTCCATGGAAAACTCATGGTTTTTCCATGGAAAACTCATGGTTTTTCCATGGAAAACTCATGGTTTTTCCATGGAAAACTCATGGTATTTCCATGGAAAACTCATGGTTTTTCCATGGAAAACTTATGGTTTTTTCATGGAAAACTCATGGTTTTTTCATGGGAACGTGTTCCAAATACCCATGGTTTTTCCATGGGTTTTTTTTCTAAAATTCCCATGGGAAATTTTCGTACGGGATCACACTGAAATTTAGCGTTATGAATCTTTTATAATAACTTACTTGTGCAACCCAAGCTTCTAAAACTTTCTTTATGAATTATGGGATGATTTGCTAATATTCCTTCCATTGCAGCTGTTTTTTTTTACCCTAGGAATAAATAAAAGTTTTAAAAGAATGTGTTACTTTACTAGTGACAACTGATGCTTCTTAAATTTTTTGGTGTTCAAGTGTTCCGTTCAGCGGTTCTTCATCTAACGATTATACAAGCATTTCCTCGCAAATATTACAAAAATAATGGCGTCTCTCTTTGATATAAAGAACTCAAAAATTGCTTTTTATTTGGTCATTAAAATGACATTTTCTTTTGGTCGATTTTTCCTTTCTTTAAATGAAATACAATATTAATAATGTAAACATATAATGAATAAATAAAATTATGTATTTAAGAGTAAAATGCACCTAAATTGTAATTACTTGAGTTAAACATTTTTAAAAAAAGAAGTAATAAAAAAACAACAACATACAAATTAGTTAATTAAAACTCAAGTATTAATAAACCTACTAATTAATTAAACAAAGAAAGTCAAAATCTAAACCGTTGGTAAATGCACTTTCACTGCGCAGCCAGAAATATTTTAGATTTTTTTTTTGAATATTTCTAAAAGAAATATTAACGGCAACAGGAGTCTATCCGTTTTGCATTTTTTTTAAATAGTCTTAAAAGATGATGTAATTATAAATGACGTAATTTTTTTAATAAACTTTTTGAATTACATCTAAATTTTATTATGTTTGAAAATAAGTGTAGATTCTACAAACGAATTTAAAACTCTTCACCAAAACCAATAAAAAAAATTAGAGTAAATTAAATTTTGTTTGCCGTCTTAGAAGGGCAAACATAATTTTGAGACCCATCTTTATGGTTTATAGACCCATCTTTATGGTTTACACCAGTGGTGGCCAAACCACTGTCCGCGGGTAAAAAAATACTAGTAAAGACTTTTTTAAATGCGCGTTAAACAATTTGGATATTTAGAAGACAACCATCTTGGTAATGTGATACCTCTATCTCCCTCAAAAATCAATCCACACATCAAAAAACTAGTTTCAGACGGTCAAGTTCACCACTCTTAATAATTATAATGCTTTGATTCAACTGATTATAATAATTATTAGTCACCTATATTTTCGTAAAAATAAATACTTTTTGCCCGCATAATTGTTTTTTAACTTTTTTTTGCCCGTATCCTGAAAAGTCTGACCACCCCTGTTTTGCCCTATAAATACGCCCACTCACAACTATAATTACAATCGCTATAAATTAACATAATTGACGTTTTTAGGGGTGTTGGCTTTGAAACGCAAAAATAAGAACCAGAATTTTTTTTTTTCCAAGTAAGACACGTTAAGTTCTTTGGTATCAACAAAATGAATAAAAGATTAGAAACAAAATGTTATAAAAGAATGAAATCAGTGAAACAAATGGGAGTAGGAAAGGATCCAGGATATTTTTGTATTATAGTTCATTAACTTCCAAGTAAGTTCTAAACTCATTACTTTTGTATGATTAAAAAGTTGCGCTGATTGAAGCGTGGTAACGAAAATACCCTCAAAAGTATGTAAAAAAAACAAACTATTATGCAATTTTAAAATAAATTTATATTCACCAATAAGTGAATGCACTCTCACTTGAGATAAACATAAACATGTCTAAGTTTGATGTTTGCTCCATGAAGTTTGCTCTGAAAGTTATTTTTCACTTATTAAAATAAAGCTGCCGCAATCCCTTTTGCATTAACAAACAATAGTTTGATTTTACCTGAAAGTTACGAAACTCGAATACAAAAAAAATCCTAGATCGACCCCTAAAGGAGACTAACACCGAACCTATAAACACATTGCATGCTGTTGTTACTTAACTTGATAGCATAACATTTTTATTCTTTTAATATACAGCTTTTTAATTTGAATTAGAAAATCAGAAAATAATTTAAACTAATTAGATATTTAAAAACCCTAGACATTTCGCTCCGTGTATCTATAGATGAGAGTTTCAAAGAAGAAAATAAATTTGTTACAACTTTTTTAGACATCTCTCAAAAAAATTAAAATTATAATTTTTACAAAAATTAAAGCGTTGTCTTTTATGCCGCAACGACCATTATAGTGATAGTAAAAAGTGACCGCTAAGGTAATAAGTTAGATGGTTTGATTTTACGTCCAAAATAATAATTTGATGTTTACGAGATAATTATTCGCGCATGTTTGACAAATTCAATCAAATAAACGTTAATGACGACGTTTAAGTGATAGGTTAAAAAAAGCTATAGACAATACTTTTTCCCTTTACCTTGAATCGTCCAACTTTTAAAATCTTTATTTTTTAAATAACTTGTTTTCAATTTGTTTTAGTTTAAAAGCTTGTATAATACAGTATATTATTGGATTTATTATTCCTAATTAATCAATTAAAAGAATTGATAATTACATAATGCACATGAGTTGAATAATCATAACTCAATCTTATTGATTAATACCTGACCTAATTGACATGAGAACATTCCAATGTTTTGATTAGATTGTTGATATTACACTTAATCTGATTGACCTGGTTATTAATACTGTGAAGTAAGAATTATAGAGTTAATTATCAAATTTATATACATACACATAAAATTATTAGGTTTAGAAAAGTACATAAATAGTTAATGTTGAACAAGTAGATACAAATTTTGTCAGTGCATAGCGTATTTAGGTATCAATTAAAATCTGTTATATTTTTTTACAATAACTTAGTATTTTTAAGTTTTTTTCTTTTTGTTTATAATCACTTTGTAATTAAGATACTGTATTTTAAGGTATGCGGAATACATTTGATTATTAGCTAACTTTTGTTCCAGTTGTAGTATTAAAACAAACAAATTTTGTTCCTGCTATGTGAAAAATACGTAAAATTTATGGTTGCATTAATAGAAGATACCGGATTACTTCCTGAAATTCATGAGCTGCTTAAAAATATCTTGTACAATGAAAGTCTTTCTGAAAATGCTGTCAAAAAAATCACACAGTTTATTGAAAAGTTGGATGCACTTTTAGTTCCTCCATTATTGCCACCTCATGTTCCTGTTAAAACTGGTTCCATTTTTCAACCAAACCCTGTTGAAGATTTTGATATTACATCTCCAGAATTTTTAAAAGAACAAAGGGAATTATCACGTCAGGGTACTATTTGGAAAGGAAATGATTTTGTACCAGAATCTTTAAATTTTTTTAAAAAAGATCATATGAATTTAAGTCAGGTATTTTTATCATTCAGTCTTTTTTTTTCTTTTCCATTTGTTTATAAATATATATATATATATATATATATATATATATATATATATATATATATATATATATATATATATATATATATATATATATATATATATATGTATATATATATATATATATATATATGTATATATATATATATATATATATATATGTATAGATATACATATATATAATATATAATATATATATATATATATATATATATATATATATATATATATATATATATATATATATAAATATCTATTTATCTATATATATTATCAATTATTTACAATAATTGATAATATATATAATTGATAATATATATATATTATTAATTATTGTAAATATCTAATTACAATAATTGTAAATAGATAATTATTATCAATTTTGTGGCATTGTTAAAACCTCTTTAAGCAAATCCACACTTCTAGAAAACACTGATTCAGTTATTATCATGATTAACAAATATTGTTTTACATTTAAGAAATGGCAGTAAAATTAAGAAGCAATAAAAAAAAAAATTTCTTAGTTGCTGAGGAGAATTATCAAATAACAGGCGCAAAGTTACTATCTAACCATCAAGTTCTTAAAGTACTTTTTTTTTAACATTCTCAAAGTTCAACGTGGTAGTGGTGTTGCAGCGCTCGAAATAACGGCAGATCAATGATCTGCTATATTTAGGGAAATTTTGAAAAATTCAATGGAAAATAACCTGTTTTTGTGAAGAAATTACATTTGATCTGCAAGTTTTAAAAAACTATTTTGAGTGCTGGTGTTGTGGTGTTGTGGTAGAGCTTGCTTCATAAGTGAGAAGTTCCGAGTTTGATCCCCACTATGTTCCTGATAAAACTGCACTCAACTGGTTTCTCCACACAGCGGCCTTGTCAAGGTTTGTCTTTCGGAGTTATAGAGTTGAGAGAGGCTTATAACCACAATTAAGTAACCTCTTCGTCTCTAGTGGTCTTCTTGGCTTTAAGGAGGTAAATTCAATTTAAAAAAAAAAGTTAAATTGACTGTTAGTGAAAATGGAAATCCTATCATTCAAGAGTTTATTATATTTTGGGAAAAAGCTAGAATCCTTCCCAGAGTTATACTCAACTGTGTAAAAAACTCGTATATCTTCACCATGCTTAGAGAGAGTTGCAAAAAAATTCCAAAAAAACAAGATGTTTACAAGTGTTGTGAAAAGGACTTTCAAAATAATTTAGATATAGCTATATAGCACATGCTGATGCAGGCCTTGTTTTAAAGCGTTACACCTAGAGCGATTTACGTACGCCTTAAGCGATTTTTACGTATGCGTAGAGCTGTTTTGGTTAAGCTACTTTTTATCATTTTTTAACTTTTAAATTAATGGTAACATAAAAGAAGTAATTAATTTTTAAAAAAACCACATTAACTTTTGAATAACATATATAAAAATATTTATTAGAAAAAAAAAAATACGTTAAAAATAATTACGTTAAAAATAACTTTAAAAATATCGCGACATATCATACGTTTTTATAACATTTAATTTTACGCTTAATTTTTTATTCAAATATTTAGTAACATGAAAAATTGTTCGCCAATCCTTAACTACAAATTTTTTGCAAATGTTTTTAATAAAAAGTAGTAACATTTTAAAGTTTTCAGTAAAAAACTTTCAAAAAATCTATATTCCAAACTTATTAATACAGAATGTAAATATTTTTTGTAATATAAATTTTTTAAGTGTTTTTTACTAAATTCATATTAAAAAACATTAGCAAAAAATTTGTAATTTAAGGGTTGACATTTTTTTTAATATATCAAAAAACGTCTTAATATTTTTGTTATCATGATAACAAAAATATCAAGACATTTTTTCAAGATATTAAAAAAAATGTGCCAATGAATGAACAATCTATTTGTATTTTTCTAAAAATAACTTTATTAATTATTACTCTTTGCTTTTCTTATTCGTTAAAGGTATATAAATACCTTTGCTTTTAAGTTATGCGGGGGGAGGGGGCCAGCACAGAAAAAAAAGTTACCTGTTACTCGCAAGTTTTGAATGAAGACAATTTGTTAAATTTCTTCTGTGTGCGATTCAATAAATTTTTTTCATAGATCAAGTTATATTATAAGGTAAAGAAATCACGAGTAGACTATAACATCCGCTGATGACACTAATATTACGTTGAATATGTTTATATAATGGAGGTTTCATTATGCACGCGCACATTACAGATTCCGTTAAATAAATACTAAGGCACGTTTTAGTTTAATGACAGTCTCTATTTTTTGTTAATGAATATGTATTTTTTTTTATAAAACAAGACAAACTAGTATATAAAAACCTTTTATATTTCTATTCTCTCTAATTGTTTAAAGTTCGAATATGGATTGTATTTTGAAGGACAAAAGATTTCCTTAAAAAACTTTTAAATCTTAGGACTTTGCCGATGCTTTGCCGATGCGATGATCACAGAAAAAGAGAAGACTTACGTTATTAAAATCAAATGTAAGTTATGTGATCTTCATCAAAATAAAATATAATCCTAAAACAATTGTGCCGTAAGCGCAGCTGCCCTACGGTTTATAAATAATACAAGTCATGTTAAAATATTTTAACATGTTACTATATTTAATTTAAGTTGATATATAAATAAAAATAAAAATATAGTTTAATAAATAAATTAAATTTGTTCTTAACAAAGATTACCTCATATTTATTCTTTTTTTATTTTATTAAGTTAAATTGCTTACAAACAAAGAAAAAAAAGAGCTTTTTTTTTTTTTGTAATTATACGTAGAATGAAAATACTTTTGAGTTTGTTTATAAGTTAAGCAACTTAATTTTTAATAAACAAATTTTACGAACGTTTATTATAAACAGATACGATTCAAATTATTAAATATACTTATATTATTTTAGTTGAGTATTTTTTTAAGTTTGCACGATTAAAGTTTTGCGGAGAAGTATTTGTTTTTTGTTTTAAGAATAATTAACAAAAGAGTTTGCATAATTAAGACTTTTATATTTAATTTAATTTTTTTTTAATTTCCTAAAATTTAAAAAAAAAAGATTTAATCGTTAAAAACGATTTTTCTCTATAGCTCTGTTTCTTTGTGATTTGTTTAAAATGTAAAACATTTTTACAATAACATAAAAAATTTATGAATTGCATTTTCCTGGCAAATGCGTTCTAAACTATGTATCAAAAATATGCTAAAAGCAGACAAAACGTTTTTATATTTTTATATAACGCAAGTTGAAACGCTAAGCAAGATAAATTTAAAAAAATATTCTTTCCTAAATTATTCTTTGCTAGTCAAAACAAAATCGCTGTTTAAATAATTAGCGTGGGTTTTTGTTTATCAATGTTAATATTTTTTGTTTACTCCAGAAATTTTTAAAAATAAAAAAAAATCACTATTTTTTATTCAATAACGATTTATAAACAATAATTATTCAAAAACAAATTTCACAAATAATTAATATATATATATATATATATATATTTTTTTTAACTAAATAATATTATTAATAACTAACTAAAATTAATAATAAGATAACAATTGAAAACATTACAAACTTTTTATTATAAATTTACATTTAAAACGTTTATAGTTATTTGAGTTAATTGTAAAATGAACTAGTTAGCGGTTATTTATTTATTGCGGTAATTAAAACTCTTAACATCTATAAAAAAAATAAAGATAATTTTATGATGTCAAATATCGCGTTAAGCTAATGCATTAAGCACTTTTTTATTTAAAACAAGGCCTGCTGATGCTTTAGAACAAATAAAAGTAAAGAAGATAAAGTATTTTAACAAAAACAATGAGAACCAGGGTGTCCAGGATGTTTAGTAGGTAGACAAAAAATTAGCCAAAAAGAAGAAAGAGTAATACAAAAAATTAAAAGAAGAACAAAGTTTCACTAGTTTATCGTCAGCTTTTATTTAACAATATTTTATTTAAACGTAAGACCATCAGGATCAACACACCAGCATCAATAAATGCATTGAGGAACCCTTACCATCATCCTCTCAAATGGTAAGTTCCTTAACCACTACAAAAAGAGGATGGAAGTACTTTATCACACCTAGGTTAGTTGCAGCTTTAGATAGATATCAGTTGTACATAGTAGCACTAGTCAGATTAGACACTTATTGTATTATGATTAGATAGAGTAGAGTCTATAAAATCAGATTTTAAGTATAATACGCCTGAAATAATTACCATTCACTGGAATGGGAAATTATTACCTGGAATAAGCATAAGAATTTCTAAAGAAGAATGTCTGGCAATTCTAATTTTATTTGGAGAAAAGGAACAGGCTGTACCCAAATTGGAAAGCTCTTCCAGCCAAGATCAAGCTAAAATTGTGTTAAATGCATTTTATGACTGGAGCCTTGAAGACAAAGTACAAATAATGTGCTGTGACACAACAGTGTCTAATACAGGGCCATTAAAAGGAGCTTATATACTTTTGGAACAAAAACTAGACAGTAAATCACTACTTTTGCTATTACGTTTACAAACTGTTTTTAAATTGTGTATTTGAAACAAAAATCCACTAAGTCATAAGTAGCCCTGATATTCCAATGTTCAAAAAGTTTAGAGACAATTGGAAAACTATTAATCTGGCTGCTATTGAAACATACACTGATATCGTCAAACAACATTTTAAAAATAAAACAATTGATGAGTTGTTGACATTTTATAATCAATAACTGCAAAAAATTATGTGCATGATAATTGTCGGGAGCTAATTGAACTATCTAATATTTTTTATAAGAAAACTAATCTGATTCTGAAATAATAGACTCACAAGAAAATAGACCCAGCCTAAGTGGTGCTTGTTCTTAGCCAGATAAAACTTGTATGCAGAAAAATTTCATAACTTTGAAGTTGGTTGTCACATTAGATAGATGTCAGTCAAGTGTAGAGATTCTAGATTTATAATTAAAGCTACTGTTGATGCGCTAGGGCATAACATAGATGACTTTTCTATAAGCAAGTCCTCAATCCATAGAATTCATACAGAAATGCAAAGAGACCAGGCTGAAGCTATAAAAGTTAATTTTTAAAACAATATCCTGAATACGGTAACTGTCCACTTGGATGGCAAACTAGAATGCCTCCGGATAGTTGTTTCATATGATGATAACAAAAAACATATCGCTGTGATAAAATTGGACAGTTCATCAGAAAGCAAACAGGCACAGGGAGTTTGAAATGCAATTAACAACTGGAATGTTGAGGACATTATATCCAAAGAAGAACTTTGTGGCCCTCTTTTTGGGCCACAAAGTCTTATATTTAAATTGTGCTTTGATTTTTATCTATATTTGATGATATTAGTTGATAATTCGTTCCAACAAGCTAAAATGATATTTGCACTGAGAGCAGTAAATTTAATGAGTAATGTGTCTTTTATTATATATACATAATAAATATTATAAATGTGTTTTATTTACTAAATATAAATAACGAACTCTTCAATGTTCCTTTAGCTCCATACTAACTTTTCAACACAAACTTCGACGTCAAGTCAATTGGTTATCATTATTCGATCTCAATAATATTTAATATTTTGGAATCAAATAAAAAAAAATAGAGGGTATGCCATTTAAAATTCGAAAAAAAACTCACTCTTATAGTTTAGTGCTACTACTTAAGGCTGAAGTAGATAGAACACCCATATTTGGGCGCCGCCCAAACTAAAAATTGAGGAACTTTTTTTTTTTTAAGGTTTTTTCCGCCAAATATTGTTTTTTCCACAAAAAAAACGCTGATATTCGGCAATATTTCAGCTACATTTTCCGGGACAGGGGGTACCCTTGCCCAAATTTTTTTTCTAAAATAGTCCCTATATATATAAATATATATATATATATATATATATATATATATATATATATATATATATATATATATATATATATGTATATATATATATATATATATATATATATATATATATATATATATATATATATATATATACATATATACATATATATACATACATATATATATATATATATATATATATATATACATACATACATACATACATACATACATACATACATACATACATACATACATACATAGATATATATATATATATATATATATATATATATATATATATATATATATGTATATATATATATATATGTATATATATATATATGTATATATATATATATATATATAATATATATATATATATATATATATATATATATATATATATATATATATATATATATAAATAAATACAATAATAATATTGATAGTATCTATTATCAATTTTAGGTCAGTGATTTAAAAAGAAAAAATGTTATTAAAATAAAAGTTTCACCAAAAGATGATAAAGATGCGATTTATGAAAGAATTGATTCATGTGATGAAAACAATGCTAACAAAGTTTCCCAGATTAAATCAACCATACCTATACGATCAGATATTCCTCCTCCTGTTCCAAAACGTAAATGTAGGTTAACCTCAAATGATAGAAATGCTGCATCTCCAATACTTGATAGACAAAGGTAGTTTTACATTTGTGTTATTTATTTAGAAAGTTTTTTTTATACAAGTTTATTTCTAAAAAAGCACAGACAACCAATAGTTAAGATTAGAAAGTAAAGAATATCAAGATAATGATTACAAGATAATGACTTAACATAAAAAACTTAACACAATCTAAACTAAATCAAACAAGTATTCCAAAATAACATCTTGAGTATTTGAATACTTAACATCTTGAGTATTTGAATACTTGATTCTGATAAAAAATTTTATGTTAATTAAGAATCGTATAAAAACATAGCCCTGCAAATTATCAGAAGGTGCTTTAATTTGAATTTCAAAAAATACTACTAAAAACATTAACATTTAAATTTTTATTTCACTTTTTTGTTACTTTGCGTTACATAAAAAAATAATAAAATAAGTTATAAAAAGAGTTGTTTTCTTAAAATAAAAATTATATATAAAATTAATATATGTATATATATATATGTATATATATATATATATATATATATATATATATATATATATATATATATATACATATATATATATATATATATATATATATATATATATATATATATATATATATATATATATATATATATATAAATATAAATATATATATATATATATATATATATATATATATATATATATATATATATATATATATATATATATATATATACAATGCCATGTATATATGCAGGAAGAAGTGAGTGCAAGAGCGGCAAAAAGCTCTCCTAAAACGAACATGGTGAGCTATGTGAATTGCTCCGGGGCTGTCCATAAATTACATTAACAAAATAGGGGGGAGGGGGTCTGAATTTTTTGGCAAGGAGGAGGGGGAGAAGTCAAGAAAATTTGACGTCAACACTTTACTTTTTTTGAACATGTTACTTTTTTTTATAAATTTAACTATTTAAAAAAAGGAGAATTAGGCAGTGTTTGCAGTCCTGTGTTACATAGTCGTTCAACTTTCAGTATTTTAATTCCTATGCTATAATTTATATTTCTACTTTTTAAAAACCATTTTGTGCTTTAAAAGACCCGACATACAGAACTAGATAACTACACACAAGATGTTTACTCATAACGGTATTATTTTTTCAAAGTTATTGTTGTCTCAGTCTGCTGTGCATTCTAAAAAGATTCATATAAGTACATTGTCTACATTATTACGATTATACAAGGGGTGCAACCTGTAGCTCGCAAGCCTCTTGTCATTTTTTCGATGTCAAAATGAAGCTCTTAAGCAGCATCTTGATATTGAAATATTATTATCTTGACATGCACAAATATTAGTATAATCAGGGAAGCGAAGTCCCAAAAGGACTTCGGTTTTATATCTCTATTTTTTACTGGTCTCTGGTGTCCAAAAGCTCTGAAAATTTAGGTTGATTTATGAACTGCTAAATATTATGAATTTTCAAAACAAAAATATGTATCTCGTTAAATTTAGTGCAAGTATATAGAAAGTAGGTTTTAAAGCATACTAGGTTTTAAAGCATACTTTTTAAAAAATGCTTATTTCTGTGATGTTGAGGGAGGGTCTAGCATAAACCAATTTGGCTGCAAAAAAAAAAAAAAAAAAATAGGGCCTACACTACATATATTTTGCATTTAAAATCATATGATATTTGTTTTTGCTTTATTACCAAGCATTTATTATTCAAATTATCTATAAATTTGCAAAACTTATGACTTTTGTTGTGATATTAAGAAATCATTTGGAGTATACAAATACAATTTTTCTTATATAATAAAAATTATTTTTGATTATTTGAAGGTTTTCTTGACATTCTTTCATCCTGCTTCGCCTGCCATTTCCCAAAATAAAATAAATAGCAAACCATTACACTTCATGTTCTTTCACTAAAGTTTTATATGAATTTATTTTTAAATAAAAAACAATTAATATGAAGCCACTACATTGATTTAAAATTTGATAATTATATATTTGACTTAAAATTTTAAAATTCAAAATAAAAATTTAAGTAATCAAACAAGTATTGATATGAGTTATCAGAAACGCAAGATTTTGCGCAATAACTGTTTGAGATCTTCTAAAAAGATTTTTCATATTATCGTTAAAGCTACGCCTGCTATTTCACGAATGTGTTGCATAGAAATAAAAATAATGTACAGTTATCAATTTGGTTTTATATTTTTTATTTACTTGAAAAGAAGTCACGGCCACTTAAACACATTTTCATCTCAATATTGACACCAATCCACCACATTATTATAATCTGTAAGATAAATAATGCGGGCTGATATACTATTTATATAGTATTGGTAATACTATATTAATAAAAACCTATATGGTTTAGGAATGCAACTTCCAACTGGTATGGATATCTTGCAACACTTTAAATATTGTCAATCAAATTTGCCAAATGGAATTACAAAAAAGTTGGATATTCTATATTATCCTCCTAAGTCAAACTTAAAGGTTGATAGGTGTCAACTAGTTGAATGTGAATGTATCATGGCGAAAATAAAACATCCATGGATTCAAGCAGGGTTTTCAGTTCTTAGCGGCGTAAATATTCAAAAAAGTTTTAAAAATCTTGAGCAAAAACATTCTAATTTATTAAAGAATGTCAAAAGAAACTCAAAACAAGATATTAAAAATCAAATAGGATTTGAAAATTTTGTTAAACATATTTTTTGGATAGAAATTCCAGAAAAAGATTTTATTCATAGTGACAAGCTAAGATCCAATGAATCTAAAATGGAAGATTTACAATTCTTAGAAGATCAAGAAGGTCCAAGATTATATCATTTGGATCCTCTAGACACTTAATATACTAAGAAAGTAATTTGATTATGTTTTGGTTGTGAGAATTTTCATAGTGTAAGTTTTATTTTTTTAAATGTTTAGGCAGTTTTGTGTCAAATCTTAACTAAATGATGCTGTCAATGGAGATGAACTATTGAGTTACTTTACTATATGGAGTGAAGCATTAGTATATAAAATATTGATTTAACTAACTTTATTTTGTTTTTAAACACACATTTAGTTTTTAAATAATATACTCTTTATAGTTTGATAAACTTATTAAATATGCTCTAACTTTGTATTTTTGTCACTCTAACAACTTATAACTAATAAATTTATTTTTATATAAGGTAAAATCATTTAATATAAAGAAGTTCAAAAATACAATGAAAAATGGATCCCCGAATAAAATCTTAAAATTTTACGAAGAAGGCGTTTGCAGTAATGATGAACTATGTTCAGATAACTTTTCTGATTCTGACTTCAAGCAAATGTATAAAAAGAAAAAATAAACCAATTAGTACAAAAATTCGAGCCAACATTCCTAAAGATAATTATTCTGGAAATAATGCTTTAATGGCAACTGTTGATAACATCTCTCCTATAGTTTTGCAGAGAATTACAACGGTGGTTGTTCAAGCTGCAGGGGTAGACATGAACACCATGAAATCAAGTCTCTCAACTGCAGCTAGAAAAATTAAATAAGAAAATAAAGAAATTTCAAATATTGCTAAAAAGATATTAAAACAAAAGTACGTTTATTTACATTCCAATTTATAATTCATTTTGACGGAAAAACTATATTTGAGACAATAAAAAGAAAGAAACCAAAATGCGAGCAACTAGCTGTACTAGTAAATATTAATGGCAAATCACACTTGTTGGGTGTGCCTTTGTTTACCATCATCTTCAGGTAACGATCAATATAAAGGAATAATGCAGTTGCCAGATGAATATGGTATTAAATCAATTGTTGGTGGATTGTGCTTTGACACAGCAGCACAACAGCAACAAATACTGGCATTACGAACGGGACGGTTAATAAATTTACCTATGATCTAGGTAAACACATTATCCAGCTTGCTTGCAGGCACCATGTTACAGAGCTTAAAATAAGTTTACTCATTTTCAGAAACATGTTACTTATAGAGAAAAGATAGGACCAGAAAAATTCTTTTTTGTAAAAGAATAATAAGTTTGACAATCCAGAGTTTCATTACAATCCTGAAAACATATTAAGGTTTGATTGGTCATTAAAGGCTGGTACTTTATTCAAAAAAACAGAAACAGATGCACTCAAATATTGCAAAAAATACATTAAAATAAAAATTATTGCTAGGGAAGACAGAAAAGAACCAGCAGAGTTTGTAATTATTTATTTGTCAAAATCAAAAATTGTTAAAATAAAAAAGCCAGGTGCAGTTCATCATGCAAGATTTCTTAGCTCAGCTCTTTATTATACATCTGCTATCTAAACAACTAAATTTTTTGATAAAAGAGGAAGACGTAAAAGCTCAAGTAGAACAAATTCTGAAGTTTATTTGTTGTTTTTATGCTCAATGGTACTTGCAAAACCACAATCCTATTAAAGCCCTATACCTTGATATTACACCTCTACATCAAATGACTCTGTATTAAGATGTTTGCCAAGTAAAAGAAGATGTTGATAAAGTCATTGACTCAATATTTAAACACTCTCGATACTTAGACTCAACTTTGATACCTCTTTTACTTCTAGATTATAAAGTTCTTGATAAAGATAAAACACCAAATCAATTTAATCTTACAAAATGCTATCTTTAAAGGCAGCTGATTACAAAATTGAAAATAAGTTGAAAGTGGATATCAAAGAGATAATCAACCTAGATAGCACAACGGATAGTAATCATCCAAATTTGGCGGTGTGAACAAGTTTTCCCACTTTATTTTTGCAGTAAATAGGTTTAAAGAAGAGAGAATATGCGATTGGTTGTCACTTTCACCATCTTTCTGGCACACTCAGTCATATTACAACCAGTTTTTAGCCTATGCAAAAACTTTGATTATAGTTAACGATCATGCATAAAGAAATGTAGGCCATGTTTATCCATATATAAATTAGTGAAGAAGAAAAAATGAAACTGGTAACCATAGACAAAGTTTGTTATTCCATGAAAAAACCTAAAAAAAACTCCAGCAAGATGACAAAAAAGAATATGGAAATAGTTTTAAATAATATTAACAATT